ATATATATATTATATATATTATAATTATGCACGTGTATTATAATGTGGTTATTAAATTTTGCGATCATTTTAACAGATGTTAAATTATAGGACGGGAATCCGCATAATCTCGTGTTTGATTTGATATATGTTTGGGTGTGTGTCTGTTTAAGTATAGGCTGCATTTTAAAACTGGTTATTATATTTATTTGACATTTGATTTGCGATTATGTTAATACATTTTAAATTAGGATATATATATATATATATATATATATATATATATGTGTGTGTGTGTGTGTGTGTGTGTGTATCATTCTCTTTTTTTGTTTAAATGACTGTTTTACATGTATATTTCAAACTGGATGATTTTAATATTTAAATTAAAATTAACCAAAAAAAGTTGAGGTTAATTTGAACAGTTTGCTCTGATGGGGCAAGTTGTCACGTTTATGTTGTGTTGTGTAATTTAGTCACTACAATTTCTTTTAAACATATGTTGTGGAAGATGTTTTATATTGCATTCATAAAAAACAGCTATTCCTCTCACGTTCCCATGGAGACACTTTACCCATAGTGTGACAACATGCCCCACTATGTGCTGTAGGCTATAGTGTGAACCGGGTCATATCTGTTTGACCTTTGAGCTACACGAATAGCGTGAACTTTTGCCCGCAGTGATAAGAACACAGACTGGTGAAACACATCAAAATAGAGCAGCATAACGTCTGTTCGCCGCTCGGGAGCTGATTCATGCAGTGAGCAAACGTGTGTCACGAGGGTCTGATCACAACCATGTGTGGATGACAAACCGACTCGCTCCAGCCCCGCGCCAGCAGCTTTATGATCCCCACATGAGCTTTCCTTACATGACACACAGCCAGACTGGGCAGATTGGGTTGTTTTCGGTGAGTCAAGCCTCGGCCGGAGCGGACGGGAGAAGATCAGCACGTCTGGGTCACTGAAGGTGATTCACACGTGGAGCTCAAAGTACCGTGAAGTGTGTGTGATTCAGCCTTTCATTCTGCTGAGCTCACAAATAAAGCCCTTACGTTCGGAGAATCGGCCGAAAGCACTGCTGTTTAACCCACACTGGCCTCTAAACGAGCAAAACTCTGCTGTTAATAAACCTGTTGCACACAACACTTGTCATCCAGTAAAAACTCTTTTAGTGTAATGGTACAAACGTCCAGCTTCAGCTCGCGCTTCACGTGTCTTTCTACTGAAATCTTGACTGAACAAGTTTAGTCATATTTCCAGATGAACACTTACTGGACTGAAGCAGCTCAGCTTTATTTGATTCTCCATTAATCACTTCTTAGTAAAATCAGTGAGACTCAAATCTGATCAAGAGGCTTTTTTGGGGAACTTTGTTCATTCCTCAGTCATCATTGATCATGTTTGGATCATTTGGATCTCATCTTACCAAGACATATTGTTGGAGATATAGTGACGAATGGTATTTATATAATTGTATGTAAGTATCTGCTATGCTCAGTTTGAGTCTCTGAATAAAATTGAGCTCTTTTTCCCTCCTTATACATAGCCTCATATATCAAATATGATACTCAACAAAATCTTTAATTAGATTTTGCCCCTCTCTCTCTCTCATTCTCTCTCGCTCTCGCTCTCTCTCTCTCACTCTCAAGTAGATTTTTAGAAAGTAGATTAATAAATGCATTAGACATATTTTAGACGTGGCGTACTAATGCTAACAAATGGAACCTTATTGTAAAGTGTTAGGCTACCGTATTGTTTGACAATAAACGGTTGCGTTTGCATGAACTATCATTTACAAAGATTGATAAATACTCTAATAAATGTATTGCTTATTGTTAGTTAATGTTAACTAGTTGTCAATCTGCAATACAAACTAACTAAAGTCGCACTTTACCTTTAAGTGCAAATATTTCAGATTCGTTCCACTTTATTTCAAATAGTTGTATCTCAGCCAAATATTGTCCTATACCCACACACACACACACACACACACACACACACACACACACACACACACACACACACACACACACACACAAACCAGATTTAGTTGTATAATTTTTATTCTGATTGAAATCTAATGGATCATATATTAATGATGATACTAAGCTGTCTACTATTATTTAATAATAATTTATTTATACATAATTGTATATAAATTGTAAATAATAATTACAAAATAATTGTTGAAGTTAACTAATAAACAGTTTTTAAGCATGCAGTATTAAGTAAAAAAATTACAATATAAATGATTTGGCCTTATGAAAATACATACAAACATTTTACCTCAGTTCAACTTACTAACATATATATATATATATATATATATATATATATATATATATGTATATATATATATTATACAAATTTATATAATGTGATCTGTAAAAAGTGAAAATATCAACTGATCTTATAAACATAAGCTATTTGTACTTGATATGACCGTAACACAAGTTAAAATACAATCAAGTTTCTGACTGAACTGAATCTAAAGGGGTGATATTTAAAAAATGCATCAGATTAATTTAACAATCAAGAATAATTGCTAACACTTGAGTAAAAGGACCAATTCTCACTATTAACTGCTTATTAGCATGCCTGTTTACATATTGGCTGTTTATTAGTGCTTATAAAGCACATATTCTCTTATTCTACATCCTTAATCCTATTCAATACCTAAACTTAACAACTACTTTACTAACTATTATTAAACAGTAATTAGGACTTTATTGAGGCAAAAGTCATAGTTAATAGTGATAACTGGACTTAAAAAAAAAAGTGTGACCCAATAATTTAATAAAAAAATGTAATTGAATCAATTATGTTTTTGTAGGAATGAGTCTTGATTATGGGCAACAAATTGAATAATTTTACTGAACAAAAAATACTGCATTTAAACACAGTCGATTAGTATTTTATAGCTTAATGTTTTTCTGTTCAGTGATTTGAATCAGTGAATTCTGAACACAAATAATCTAAACGAACCGATTCTCTGAAACCCTGTCAGCCACGAAAAAGTAGCTCGTAACTTTTCTGAAAACAGCAGAACGATGAAAAAATCAAATGAATCAATTAGTCAAATGAATAACATCGCTTCTGAAGAACAAGGCTATTTGGTTGTTGTTGTTGTTATAGATATGTATGGCTGAGGCACCAGCTATTAAACAGACAAAAGAGTAAATGCTTAAGTGAGAAATATGTCTTTCTCACACGCCCAGATATGAAGCGGCTCCAGAGTAATCCTGCAGTTAATCTCTCTCTGAGCTGAGTGGCTCCAGGACTGTTCTGATGTCTTACTGCTTCTCTGGAATTCCTGTGTGATCTTTTCTAAGTTTTATACACCTTCTTTGAACCAAATGAAGCTTTTGGTTGGGTTGGTTTGGTATTGTTAAGATAGAAGTATTTTTTTTTTTTGGTTAACATTGATAACATTCTTCTACATGTTAAAAAAAAAAAATCTGTCACTTCACAGAGTGACCACAAAGTGACGCTGTTCCATTACATAAAGCCAGGAAACCATCACACCTGCAGCACTGTGACCTTCTGAGAGTGAGTGCGTTGGTTTAGCTGTGCTTCAGAAGAGCTGGATCTGACAGACGCTCAGTTTGATGTGAAAGTGTGTGTCTTTCCTGCTGGTTATACAGGATGAGGGTTGGTTTACTAAAACTGGGCCGATGGGTTTCCGCACCTTGACCAAACTTGTGTGTGTAGTTTCACGACCTTTGCCCTCTTGACACCGCTCACCTTACAAACACAGTTAATCTCGCTACTCGGATCCAAGTTGCCATCTGTGCAACATCTCACACACACACACACACACACACACACACAGGTTTGTTTTTGTGAATTGTGAGGTGTAATGGTTTTTATACTGTACAAACTGTATGTGCTATTGCCCTACACCAACCCTACCCCTTATTTTAGATTTTCAAAAAAACTAATTCTGTGTGATTTATAAGCCTTTTGAAAAAAATATGGGGATACTCAAAATGTCCTCATAAATCACCTTCTCTTGTAATACCTATGCCATATGCATGTCATAATACAAATTTGTGTCCTCATAAAATCACAAAAACGCACACACACACATTCTCTTACGCACACACACACACACACACAGAGTTCATCTCGAGGAATAATGGATGACTATAGACACGCACACACACGCACACACACACACTCTCTCACACACACACACACACACACACACACACACAGAGTTCATCTCGAGGAATAATGGATGACTATAGACACGCACACACACGCACACACACACACTCTCTCACACACACACACACACACACACACACACACAGAGTTCATCTCGAGGAATAATGGATGACTATAGACACGCACACACACGCACACACACACACTCTCTCACACACACACACACACACACACACACACACAGAGTTCATCTCGAGGAATAATGGATGACTATAGACACGCACACACACGCACACACACACACTCTCTCACACACACACACACACACACACACACACACAGAGTTCATCTCGAGGAATAATGGATGACTATAGACACGCACACACACGCACACACACACACTCTCTCACACACACACACACACACACACACACACACAGAGTTCATCTCGAGGAATAATGGATGACTATAGACACGCACACACACGCACACACACACACTCTCTCACACACACACACACACACACACACACACACAGAGTTCATCTCGAGGAATAATGGATGACTATAGACACGCACACACACGCACACACACACACTCTCTCACACACACACACACACACACACACACACACAGAGTTCATCTCGAGGAATAATGGATGACTATAGACACGCACACACACGCACACACACACACTCTCTCACACACACACACACACACACACACACACACAGAGTTCATCTCGAGGAATAATGGATGACTATAGACACGCACACACACGCACACACACACACTCTCTCACACACACACACACACACACACACACACACAGAGTTCATCTCGAGGAATAATGGATGACTATAGACACGCACACACACGCACACACACACACTCTCTCACACACACACACACACACACACACACACACAGAGTTCATCTCGAGGAATAATGGATGACTATAGACACGCACACACACGCACACACACACACTCTCTCACACACACACACACACACACACACACACACAGAGTTCATCTCGAGGAATAATGGATGACTATAGACACGCACACACACGCACACACACACACTCTCTCACACACACACACACACACACACACACACACAGAGTTCATCTCGAGGAATAATGGATGACTATAGACACGCACACACACGCACACACACACACTCTCTCACACACACACACACACACACACACACACACAGAGTTCATCTCGAGGAATAATGGATGACTATAGACACGCACACACACGCACACACACACACTCTCTCACACACACACACACACACACACACACACACAGAGTTCATCTCGAGGAATAATGGATGACTATAGACACACACAGACACACACACAGATCAAACACCTCACATCACAAAGACCTTCAGAAACACAACGCATCCACCTACGCAAGAACCTGATCGATCCATCTTTTCATTCCACACACCTGCTATCAGAAATCTATCAGATTTTCACGCTGTACAGCAAGTGTTTATGTCCCTGTGCTGTTGATTCGGTCAGATTCATTTAAGAAAGAGAGAGAGAGATGTAGCGTTACCAGCAGGAAACATGGACAAGCTCCTGTTGTTAAGGCAGCTTCACACTGAGCGAATCGCTTCTCTAATTCTTACAAACAGTAATTTTATGTAAATTATACTCTGATAGTAGTGACTTTTAGATCGGAATCAAATCTTTTGTTTGGAATCAGTGATTCGGAGCGCATACCCAACTTCAGTAAATGAGGCTTTGTTGCATGGTTTGTGAAATTGATGTTTGTTTTTTTTGTTTTTTAATTATACTGTCAATACAACATTGGCAATTGGTTTGTAAAGGGTGTTTTTGCGCATGTTTTGGGTTGAGTTTTCATTGCATATTATTTACACCGTTTTTACGCATTTACAGCGTGTGGCTTTTTGTGAAGCAATTGATTCAACATTTTGAAATGCTTTGTTTCTTCTGTCACTAGTTTTAGAGAGTGATCTACACAGTAATTAATTCACTTAACTGTCCAATAAAAGACTCCTGTGACTTTCATAAAGTAACTAGGAGTCTCTACTCATATTTCCTGACGTTTACACTTGTTTTTGTCTTCATCTGTATTTCTGTCTTCAGAGAGTGTCTGCTTCTTCATCCATACATGTACTGATTCTCCTGTGGTTTACACCAGTAAATCATGATAAGAAATATGTTGTTGTGTATTTTTAGCTCTAATATTAAACTACACTACACTACTAGCGTATCTACAGAAGCAACAGCCAATGAGTGCCAGGGTTCTCTCTGACGATTAGTGAAGCACAGCCGCGTCATGTCATTCAGCTGATATATATATATATATATATTATTTACAACAATTATAGTGAACTATTATGAGTACAGTCTCCATGTGAGGTGAGTGTACACAATTCAGATGACTCTTCACAAGCACATTTTATGGGTCAAGGGCGTCTCACCTCTGAAGCGCTGGAATGATTCTCTCTCAATAGGTTCTGCTCGATCTCGTCTTCCATGCACATTCATCTCAGGATCTGACATGAGCAGCTCTGCATCCATATGGCACACAAGGACTTGTGTGTGTGAGAAAGAGAGAGAGAACAGATTGTTGTGGGACCTTCAGTCCTGCCCTGTGAACCTGATGCCACAATCACCAGCAGGAGAGCAAAAGCACTGCTGATAGAAGGGCAGCGACACACTCTCACACAGCTGTTAAACACACACACACACACACACACACACACGGAATTACAGATATTAATTTAGCGACGTTTAGTGATGCACCAATGAGGACAAAATGATGTCACTCGAAACTGGTGATATAAATGAATGAACATTGTGTAAAATATACAAAATAAATCATTCTAATATGCTGATTTGCTGCTCAAGAAACATTTCTAAATATCAACGTTGAAAAGAAAGTTGTGCTGCTGAATATTTTTGTGGAAATGCTGTCATTTGCAAGCGTTTCAAACACTGTCGTTCAGCAATAGAAACGTTGCAACTTGGCCCATGAAGCCAGATTTGAAAAACTACAAAAAACAAAAACAAAAAAACAATTAGACACACACACACACACACACAACAACTGTATCACTATAAACCAAAATTAACTACTTCCCTCTGATAAGATACTAACTAAAACAGCCATATCACCCTGCAGCCCAAGACTGGTTGCCCACTGAAGCTAAGCAGGGTTGAGCTGGTCAGTAGCTGGATGGGAGACCTCCTGGGAAAACTAGGTTGCTGTTGCAAGAGGTGCTAGTGAGGCCAGCAGGTGCTCACCCTGTGGTCTGTGTGGGTTCTAATGCCTCAGTATAATGACGGGGACACTTTACTGTCAAATGCACTGTCTTTCAGATGAGACGTTAAACCGAGGTCCTGACTCTCTGTGGTCAGTAAAAATACCATGGCACTTCTCGTAGAGAGTAGGGGTGTAACCCCGGTGTCCTGGCCAAATTCCCTCCACTGGCCCTTGTCTATCATGGCCTCCTAATAATCCCCGTCCACTTGATTGGCTCTATTTCTCTCTCTCCTCTCCACCTGTAGCTGGTGTGTGGTGAGCGCACTGGCGGCGTTGTCCTGTGGCTGCCGTCGCATCATCCAGGTGGATGCTGCACACTGCCGGTGGTTGAGGAGAGACCACCCCCCACATGATTGTAAAGCGCTATATAAATGCATCATTCATTCATTCAAAAAGCTGCTGATTAAAAATAAAAAAATATATATTTTTTAATTGAATCATTTCTATCCTTCACATCCCTTAATACTTAAGTTGGAATCACAAGGCACATCTTTTTGATGTGTTTGTTTGTATGCGACAGTAATGCTCAAAAGATCTGTTAGAGCTCTTTTCCTGAAGCTGCTATGATCCATCAATCGGTAAAGAGTCCCTGGTTCCCCTTGAGTCTGGTTTTATGCTCATAGATTCACACACGTGCATATCGGCAGCCGGCACTCAGAAACATGTCAAAATCCATGCTCTGCCCGAAACCTGTACCGAAGCCCACATTAACATTTTATTGCTTAATAAAACCCAGCAGATTTTACTGTTATTAAATACCCAGGTGCCCTTTCAGAACAAAAACTAAACTACTACAACACACTGCCCTTCGAAAGGCTTCATCACACCTTACATGATCTGTACTTCCCTGGTTTGAGTCCTACTTCATGGGTAAAAACCTCAAGGTATTTTGGAGGGGATGAGTGTTTTAGTCACAGCAGCTAAACACTGGGGTACCTCAGGGTTCGGTGCTTGGCCCTCTCGTTTTCTCAATATACACAACAACTCTAGTATATTCTTTAATATTATTTATGTAATAAGTACTCATTTAAAAGTATGCTAAAGTGTACTTCTTCATAAGGGAAATAAATTCATTGAAAAGTTAAAAAAAACTATACTTCTTTATTCTACTTTGTAATAATGTCAAATTTAAAGTTTTAAAGTACATTTTAATTTGTCTAAATAATTATGTTGTGTTTTAAAGATGTACACTTATGTGTTGACTAACATTAAAGCACAAATAAAGTACTTTAATAAGTATGATTCTAATTCTAATTGTAGAGTGTTATTCAATATTACATTTAAAGTTAACATAATGTTAACAGTAAATTGCAATGCCATCATTAGAAATGTGCGATTACAATTTTTTTGAATACATGACATACAAGTTCAGCTCAGCACATTCAGCAGTACTTTAACCATATTTGAAAGACAATAGCATAATTATGAAATTACATATAATGATGTAAAGTGGGTCAAAAGAGCACGCTAACTAATTGCGTTTGGTATACAGATAAACTATAATGAATTTTAATTCATTTGTGATTAACGTGTGCTTAAGTGTCTGAAAACACTTTTTTATATTGTCAGTATATTTTTTAAAGGAAATTATTTCTATAAGTGCACTTTTTTGTTAAAGTGAAAGGATTCACTGAAAAGTAAAAAAGGAAACAAAAAAAAATCTACATTTCTTATTTTTGGTCATAATTTCTCTTTCGTGCAAGTAATATTAAGCTTGTACAAATAGACTTAAATTTAAAATCTCCATATTAGCCAAATATAGTAACAGGTGAAGGAATCATCCGTGCAGAGACAGAGGAGCTGACATATAACAGAGATGTTCAGAGGTAACGGAGCGAACCTTGCGTAAGTTTTGGTACCAGCTGGTATAAATGTGTGTCCACCAAACACATGCTGACAGCCTCAGGTAGCTGCAGATCGACCCCTGCGTCTCAGAAAAACCTGCTGCTCCCTCAAAACAGAGCTTCAGTTTGAACACCGATGTGAAGTGTGCCACGGCTCGTGTGGAGTGAACCGAGTGAAGATAAAGAGATGGAAAGTGAATGAGAGCGACAGGCTGTAATCAGCTTCTTTCTGCTTCCAACCCTACGCTGGGCGCCAGGTCTGATGCCCTGCGAGTGTGTGTTTTGTGAAGACGAGGGTCAGTGAGATGCTAGTTTGTGTTTCCTGACACTCTTGTCTCTCAGAATGCATTAGATTCATTTCAGTGGTAAAATTACAAACGACTTTTAACTGACCTTGTAGAAGCTGAATAAGTTACATACAATTTTCTAACTGACAGAAAGAGTTGCAGTGCAATGCACTTTAAAGGGGTCATATGAGGCTATTTCAATTCTTCCTTTCTCTTTGGAGTGTTACAAGCTCTTGGTGCATAAAGAAGATCTGTAAAGTTGCAAAGACTAAAGTCTCTAATCCAAAGAGATATTCTTTATAAAAGTTAAGAGTCAGCCATGCCTACCTAAAACGACTCATTCTAACCAAGCAGCAACCTCCCGCTCTCTCTCGTGAAGCCAACACGGAAGTGACTAAAACTGTAATTCATCGACTGGCCGCTAGAGGCTGGCTGCAAAAGGGAGTCAATCCCATAGACTCCCCATGTTAACATGCCCAACTTTACCCTCTAAAAAGTACTGAAACTTTTCACCATCAAATGTATTAATAGTTTTTTCTTTCATATTATTTCCATCACCAGTTTTGTATTTTCTCACAAAGTGCCAAGTTTGGCTGGCGCTGTGAACAGGACTAAGCATTTTCAACTGCCATTCTATAATTGCTCTTCAAGTCGGGACTTGAGCGCTCTCACATACTGAGAGTGATGCCGGAATTTGCTCTCGCTAATGGCAACGTTAAATGCGGCCTCGGCTGGCGTCCAAATATCAGCTTAACCATTCTCTGTGCAAT